TTCTGTATACCTAACGTTCAGCAACAGATAAGATCACCTAGCCTGTGACCAAATATCCAACTGAAGATAACAATGACATTTGAAGATATTATGTTCTTTTAACGACATATTAAGTCAGGTACTTGTGCTCCTATTCAATGCTCAGAATTTATTAACTTAATTAGTATCAAATGTGTTTGTGAATTATACAGTTAGTGGCCTGGAAAAGGTCAAAAGATACCTTAGATGATTAAATGGCAAATGCAAACACCCCAACTATTGCCCTAGACTCTTCTCAAATGTATTAGTTTGAGTTTGTATTATCATTTGAGTAGTTATGACTTCTAATTAATATGGAAAGACTAAAGAAACTTAGTTGCTCACGTCAATTCATTTATTTGGTGTAAGTACAAGATTCATCATATTATTGAAAAGAGATTGGAATTATTTTTGAAAATAGAGAAGTCAAGATTAAAAGAGAAATCAAATTAAAATTCTAAGGTTTTGCCAACTCAGAAATCCAGGCTTGCCCATTATTTGTCAGCTGAACATTAATTCGTATTTTCTTAAAGTAATGAGAAAGATGTTGAAGCGTGGGGGGAAAGGCAGAAGCAAGATAACCAAGGTCTTATTTGCTGTACTAAGGCATATGAATTTTACGTCAAAATTTGTGGTTACCAGTTAAATATTTAATGTGTGTGTGTGTGTGTGTGTGTGTGTGTGTGTGTGAGAGAAGTCTAAGACAGCTGAAGAGAGTGAAGCCTAGATGTGTGAGCTCTTAAGAGTGATTTCCATTACTGAGGTGAGTAAAGAGCTAAACTTAAGCAAGGACACTGGGGTGAAGCCTATGTGACAGTATTGATATTTAAAAAGAAAAGAAAAAGAACACACAGGGCATGGTTTTGAAGGAAAAGGAGTGGGAAAAGAAAAGGTAGTTAACTCTGCCTTGGTGGTGCAAGCCCTGGTGGTAGAATGCACCAAGATACAAGTTGAACAAATATGACTTTGTACACGCCACATTCATAAGTCATTCAAATCTAGTAATGCAAATGCAGTAATTAAAACAAATACTCTGAATTAAAACTAAATTGAATCATCATGCCTCTGCTACCTCACCAAAATAATTTTTAAAAACAAATGAATAGTCAGGTGCCAGTGGCTCACGCCTGTAATTCTAACTACTCAGGAGGGTGAGATCTGAGGATCATGGTTAAAATACTTAGTAAAAGCTGAAAGTAGCACTGTGGCTCAAGAGGTAGAGCACTAGCCTTGAGCACAGAGATGCTCAGGGACAGAGCCCAGGAACTAATAAAATGAATAGAATGAGTAAATAAAGCGAATAGAAGCAGAATTAGCTCTCAGCTCTTTAATACTGGGAATGATTTGACATATTTTCTAATACTAGGATTTTGCCCCTAAATTATTTTTAAGCTTTCAATATCTTAGAAGTTCTATCACAGAATTTTTGCCTGGTCTGTCCTCTTGCTATAGTGACTCTTCAGAGAAATTCATGTACACATTTCATTGTACTCTAAAACTCAATTGGGGACGTACATCAATTTTCACAAGTACACTTATGTGTTACTGATTTTTACTACTTGTAACTGTCACCAGTGGTATTTTCATAGTAATGTTTCACATTTTCCAAAACAGGTTTCCATAATAACTTATCTCAGAACTTTTATAACTTTCTATCTTTAGTACTATTATTAGGGATGAGTATAAAATATAACCTTACTAACCAGATTAAATATGTAAGCTTGGATCTTTCAAGTGCGTATTTATGTTATATATTAAAATGCAGAAGGGGGACCTAACCAACAAAAGGCAAAAACACAGTGCTACAGAATTCAACGAATTCTTCAGTTCCTATCAATATAAAGGTCAGAAATAAAATGTTATGTAATTTAATCAATCTCTTCAATATCAAAAAATCATAAAGAACTGAGTATAACAATAATATAATAAGCTTAACAAAATGAAAAGCAAATTCAAACAGCTAAAATTGCTCAGACCAGCACATCAACAAAAGCTAAGCTGATATAAAAGATGGTATATCAAAGTATAAATCCTTAACTTCTGTTAAAAATGAAACTTGGGAGAAAAAATGAAACGGGGCAATACAACTACAGCTGGAGCAAATCACTGGATAATTGATTTATTTTTCCTAGATCTTCTCTCTGCAAAGCAGTGGTTCATCTTATGGCCTCTCCAATGTAATTCTATTTATCAAAGTGTTCAGATAACATTAAATCAACAATTACCTGTACTAAATGTAATTAATCCACTTGTAAATGTAATGATCTCTTCTGATTCAGTAAACATCAGTAACTTCAGAAAAGTTATCCTGAAGATAAATTCCACAAAAGAAAGCAAATAGTTAAACACTAACTGGTCTACAATGAAACAAAGCATTCATGAAATTAAATCAAGAGGTGGAAGATGGGGTTCAGGTAGTAAACACCAGCCAATGAACAAAAGAATCAGATATTGAGTTGGGAGTTCTGGTCTCAAAAACAAAAAGTTAAATCAAGACCCATGGATTTATATTCTATTGTTTGGTGATACAGGGTAAAAATTCCACTAGCTGAAGTCCTAGAAATATATATATTCATATAAAACAGTCTATATTATATTATTAGTTTATTACATATTTTACATTTTTGTATTAGTGTGTTATATAATTTATGTATTTATTGTTATATGTTATCTTATAATTTCTATAATTATTGTTACTATTATATATAATATATGCTATTACATACTATATATTTTAAACAAATAATATATATTTAAGTCATAATGACCTTTCCAAGTTAGTGAATGTCTTATATATAAAATCAAATCTCCAGAGCAATATGGTCTGCAGAGATTTCACAGCCCAGTCAGTTATAATCAGAGGTTTTGGTGTAAAAAGACTGGAAAGGATGTCATGAGACCTCTAGAATAATTTTGGTTCTGCTATTAACTTGATGTATGACCTTGGCCATCACTTAGCATCTGAGCCTTCATTTTCCTGAGCTACAAAATAAAGGGTCTTGACTAGGTGACTTCAAAGACATTTTTCAGTCCTGTGATTCTCAACTGATTTTGCTTCTACTTTCACTTGACCTTGTGTTAATCCCTATGTTGTTTCTTCACCTAAATTATTCAGGTCAAGTCCTCTGCACAATTACAACAACAACAACAACAAAAAATCCAAGTATGATTAACTATTCAAGTCAATGATGTACATCTTTAGTTTAAAAAAATCCGTAACAAGAATTAGGCACCTTCTTAAATATTTTGCTGTATGATTTATCTTAAAATATAAAATAACATGAGGATATTGTGTTATCACGAAGAAAGATAAAACCTTTTAACATTTTATAGCACATGATCTGAAAGGAAAAAAAAAAAAACATCACTTGATGAGCCTGAAAAATAATTCAGATTATCATTTTTAACCAGGAAGCAGAAAAAGCATCATGACCTCCAGCTGGAAACCAAAATACACAGATGTCATGATCATGAGTGAGGTCACTGAAATAAACATGCGCTTTTTTCGGAAGTTAAAAGAAATCTTTCAGAGTGTGTGAATTCTATGTTCACAGGTGTGAATATGCACATGCTAGAATTTATGCATTCAAATGCAGCCTGGAAATCATTAAGTTGTGCCATGTTCTACTTCTCACTGAAAACAAAACATCTACAGACTTCCAAAGTGCTATCAAAAAGCACAGCTGAGAAGTGAGTCTACCAACAGCTGCTTGCTATCTAAGATGAAGGAATTTCTCACGTGCAGATAAAGAAAGAACTGAGTCAAAGTAAAGCTGGAAGGGAGCAATTCTGCTCTGCCCAGGGCATTTCTGTCCTACAGAGCAGAAGTAAGGCAGACACATGCAGTTGTGAAGACTTAACCAAATACAGAACTCTGTTCTCATATATAATTCTTTTTTAAAACTTCAAATCCTATATAATTAGGGTTATTTAGAATGTCTTTTATTTCTTAAAGCTGATGAAACTATCTTAGCTTACTTTTATAGCCCCTTCATGAAATCTCCTAGAATTAATTGGGCGTGTCAACGACTAAATTTAAGCTGTCACATAAGTTTAAAAATGAGAAAGAAACAGCAAGTCTAAGATCACACTAGACAAAGTAAAACTAAGTTTCCTACCATCTAAGTCACTCAGATTCAGAAACGGGAATTCAGATCTGCAAAGTGGTTAATTCACCATCAACCTGTAAGGAATATGGACAGAAACTCTAGAGGGAAAGAAAGCACCAGGCTTGAAAAGTCCAGTGTTGCAGAGGTCAGCTGACTAGAACAAGCCATCCCTCCACGATCTTCTTCGCCCTTGGGAAAAGAGACAGGGCTTGTGTAGAATATTTCTCTCACAAAATGGACTGCCCCGGCCCACCTCCCTCCTCCACCACAACCACAGAAGCCACCTACAAACACCCCATTTCCGCCCCTTCCTATGTCCTATGAGATCCCTATCATTGAAGCCACTTCCTTGAGTGAGTCAGACCCAGAAAGAGTCAGGCCTCACTGAAAATGTCACCTCTCAATGACCAGTAAGCCCAGAGAGCAGACATCCAAGCTAAAGGGAAAAAGTTTAAACAGAAGGTTAAGAGAAGGAGGCGGGGGGGGGGGGGGGGGGGGGGGTTGGAGAGACACACAAACAAAACCTCAAGATGAAGGTTGGTACCGATTTTAGGACAACCTCAGATGGAGACTTGCTCAGAGAAGTAGGCATTGGCCCTTCAGGTCCCATCTGCTAAAGTAAATCTCAGTGTGTTGAGTAAGAAGGAACGGAGTGAGAAGATGAAGAGGGTAGAACCAGGTTTTTTGTGTGGTTTTTTTTTTTTTTTTGGGGGGGGGTGTCTTTTTTTGTGGTTGATTTTTGTTCTTTTTGTTTTTTCCACCCTAGATGAGCCTGGAAACTCCTCTCTAGGCAGCCCCTGGTGGAAAGAAAGAAAAGTTTCAGAGGGAATGGGAATGGGAGGTTTGGGTGGGAGGGGCGGAGTCAGGCCTTACCCTGGCGGCTCGGGATGAGTAGGGGTCCTCGAAAAGAGCCCACATGCGGGGCTGCAGCCTCCTCCAGCGGCCCGACTTGCCGTCGGGCCCGCCTAGCCCCGCCGCGTCCTCGATGCCCAGCCTCTTGGCCCCCAGGTCCTCCTCGTCGCCAGGGTCGCCCCCGATGAGGTCCGGGGTCTCGAAGATGTCCAGGGCCTCCTCGGCGTCGCGGTGCTGCCTGTAGGTCATCCAGCAGCAGGGCTCCACGTCGGTCTCGTCGATGCCCCAAAAGGCCAGCTCCTCCTCGAAGAGCGGTCCGCACACGTCGGCCGGGCAGTGTAGCTTACCCGTGCGGTAGTAGTTGAGCACATAGGCGAAAACACCCGGGTGCCGATCGAAGAAGAACTCGCGGCCGCCCCCGGGCAGGTGGCTACCGCCCTGGGAGCTGCAGTTGCCCGCGCCCTCGAAGCAGCCGCCGCCGCCACCTCCGCCACCACCGGGGCCGGGGGTCAGCGGCGTCAGGGGAGGGGGCAGGGGCTGCAGCTTGTCGGTCAGACAATCGCCCTGGGGCTCGGAGGAGGCCAGCAGCGCCAGGCGCGTCCCGGGCAGGGTCTTGAGGGTGCTGCGGTAGGTTTCGTGCCGGGTGCCCCCGACGTTGAGGATCACCCTCTCGTTGTTCTCGATCTTGCCCATCTCTGTGGCTCAGACATGACTGGGGAGGGGGAGGGAGGCAGGGGAGGCGGGAGGGAGGCAGGGGAGGCGGGAGGGAGGCGAACACGGCGCCGAGTTACCGATCTCCGCCGGCAGAAGCGCGCCCGGACCCCCGCCCTCGCCCCGCTCCCTCCCTCCCGGTGGCCCCCGGTTGCGGACGGCGGTGGGGGCGGACCCAGAAGCCAGGGGCGTCCTGTCGCTCGCCTGCCTCTGGCATCACACCTTTCCCAGGGGTTCCAGGAAACTAACCGAGCGAGACTTCCTCGACTTCCCACAAAACCTCTTCCCCTTGGCTTCACACCCTCCTTCCTCCCCTCCGTCTCTCCACCTCCTGACCTTCCACCTTTCCACCCTCCCCATCCCCCCAGCCGTGGAGGCTGAGAAGCTGCTTCCAGCCCCTGACCCTCCCTCCCTAAGCCCTCTGACTCCCCCTCGGTTAACTCCATGCTTTGTCTCTCCCCTGGGTTACCCCCATCTTCCTCTCTCCCTGACAACACCCCCCCCCCCGCCACACACACACACACACACACCACCCCGCCACACCTTCCACCTTCCTCCTTCTCCTCTAGCCTGGATGCAATGTCTTCAGGCCAAGAGTTCCCGAAGGTCGAGGAGTAGAGTGGAGCTGGGACCCCCTATTGCACAGGGACGGGGCCAACTCTGGACGGTCCACCGCGCTCCCCAGCACCCTGGGAGAGCGTCCTTGCTGGGCTCACCTCCACACTCCGTCACAGACACCCCCCCCCAAAAAAAAATGAAGTCAAGGTGGGAAGGGGGGGTCATCCGTGCTGTTGTCTTTCTCCAAGGAGACCTCTGACTAACTTCCTCCTCCCATTTCCTCTCGGCTTGATTGTTATCGCTGTTGTTCACGTTATTATTACTTGGGTAAGGAAGCACTAACTAGGATCCATCTTTGAGCCACTGAAGTGAGCAATACATCCCACCCATCCCCCTCCCCCCGTTACCAAAGCAAAACAAATACCTTAGGGGGTGGAGAGTTGGGGGGAGGGAGGGCTTGCTTTCTAAGAGGGGCGAGGGCGAAGCCTCGGCAGGCACACCCCCTGATCGGCGGAGGAGTGAGTCCCTTTCCAGCCTCTCCCCCTGGGCTTCACCTCTGCATCTTTATTGCCGGGGGGGGGGGGCAGAGGCGCGGGGGGGGGATGCCTGCCTGTAGGGGCTGCACGCCCCTCCCGGGACCCCGATTCCCACCCCACCCCACCCCCCGCTTGTCCCCAGATACCTTAAGGAACCCGAGAGGAAAGTGGTTCTGCTTCGGTGTCTCGGAGCGGACGAGGTTCTCTGGGCAGCAGGATTGAATCTGGGCGGCCAGCCTGAGCCGCCCTTCTGCGAAGGGAAACTACTTGTTGGCGTTTTCCGGGTTCAGGTGGTTGGGCCGCTTCTCCGGGCGTGGAGGTCGGGGAGACAGTCCCCGCCGGCTGCCGGCCACGCTCGGTGCCGCCTTCATGCTGCGATCGGCGGCTTCGTCCATCGCCACCCTCCGCGCCCGAAGTCACCATCGCGCAGGGCTGAGCAAACCATGGAGCTTGGGGCGGGTCCAGCCGGCTCTGCCCGACCCTGCTGGGGAGCAGGCAGATCCGCGAGCGGGTGTCTCTGGAGCGCAGGCTTGGCCGCAGGTCAGGAGAGCTCACCCACTGGAAGGTGAAGTCCCGGGTGTGCAGACTGGGTTCCTCTGCCCCCTCTCCCCGACGACCCGACCCCCACAGCCGGGCAAGCACCGTGGGAGCTGTCCCTTCAGCACCACTCGCCGTCGGCTGCGCGCCGCCTGCCGAAGCACACGACTCCGGGAGGGGTGGGCGGGTGGGTGGGTGGGTAGGTGGGTGGGTCTGAGGAAGCTGAACCTCATCTCCCCGGCTCACATTGCTTTTTTTTGTTTTTTTTTTTTCCGGTGAAACACAGTCCACAGCCTCCCTGGAGCTTTTCGCTGCCTTCTTTACACCTGGCTTTCTACACCCTTTCTCTCTCCCTCTCACCCCTCCCTACTCTCTCCCTCCCCACCCCTCCTAACCAGTGAGAGAAAGAGTCTAAAGCTTATTGCATTTTTTTTTATCTTGATGACAGCTGACCTTAAAGAGTGGGCCCCTCTCGGGTGACAGTGAATCTTGTTTCTTGTGTCTTATACGTGGCTCTGGCTTGCTCTTTTCAGTCACATGTAGGTCGCCAGCCACCACATCACAGATATAAAAGTAAAACAAGTTTGAAAAGTTTTATTCCAGAAACATAGTGCTCTAGGAAGTAAAAACTCGGGTTTCTTTGCCAAAATCTAAAGACATGAGCTACAGATACCCAGATACCACAGCCATTCTCTAATAGGCTAATGTCTCCCTTGTCTCCGGTTTTTATTGGGTCTTGGTTTGGTTTGCTAGTGCTGACATAATGAGACACCATAAAGTGGCTGACATAACTGGCATGGGTGAATTTTGTCCTACAGTGGCTGGAGGCTTGAAGTGTTCAAAATAAGTAACTCTAGGGTTGGTTTCTTCCAACAACTGAGAGAAGAATATGTTCCAAGTCTCTCTCATTAACTTGAAAATGGCCATCTTTTACCTTTCTCTTGAGATCTTTTTTCTTCACATGTTACCTCTGTGTCTCATGTTCCCCTTTTCTTATCATCATTCATGAGCAGAGTCCATGCCAATGGCCTCATTTTAACTTGCTCACCTCTATACAGGCCTTAACTCCAAACACAATACATTACTGGTTTTGGACTTTAGAACTCCTATTACCCCTTTGGCTGGAGAAGGTACACTATCCAGCCCATAATAGATCTCATCACCAAATAGAGTGTATGTCCATCTATCTATCTGTTTGCCTGTGTGTATATTTTGGATATATGCACAGATGTGTGTATATATCAAGAGGGTGAAAGAAAAGGAGAGGAGGAGGAAGAAGAGGAGAAAAAAGAGAAGAGAGAAGGGGAGAATGGAGAGGAAGAGGAGGAAGAAGACCTCATTTCACAATTCTATAGACATATTTTGTTAATATTTAGGTCCACCAAGAAAGAAAAAAACTGGCATTAACAATGAAACAATTTATCTAGAAAGAGTAAAAGTTTTTCATAGAAAGCTTTTGAACATCAAAGACCGTAAGGTAGGTGGTGAAATGTAAACAATTCACCAAATAAGACACTTATTTGTCATACTATGTTAAGTAATTAAACAATTAAAAAACTAAAAGGTTCTTTGAAGCTCATTGGTGTTTAGGAAAGAAATGTGAGAATGCATATATATTTTACATATATATTTACATATATATTTTAAAGAAAATATAAACATAAATAATATAAGTAATGTGGATGTAAATATGAACCCCAGGTTTGAGTAATGCCACACATAAGAAAAGAAAGCTTGAATAATGAGGGAATACTTTCATTTTGCACAATGATCTATCACTGTGAATCTCTAAAAATACCAGGAATTTACCAGAAAAGGTTAATTTCCATTGCCAAAAAGTGAAAAAACAAAAACATATCTAACTATATTATGGCTAATTGTCATTGTCAGCTTGAATGGATTAAGAAACACCTAAGAAATAAGTAAAGCGCATGCCTGGGTATGTCTGTGATTGCACTTCCAGAGACAATTAGATCATGAGGACTCTGTCATAATGAATAGATTAATCACTTGATGGATTTATAATAAGATAGCAGCATTGCTATGGTTAAACGTAGGAGGTAGGGCCTCACTGAAGGCATGTCCTTGGAGCACCATCTTGCCAGAGCTCGTTTCTATATCCCTTTCCTCTGCTTCCCAGTTATCAGTTTCTATATCCCTTTCCTCTGCTTCCCAGTTATCAGGACATGAACTGTTCTGCTCCATGATGCCCTCTCTGTCAGTACAGACTGAATCCTCAGAGACCATCAGCTAAATAAAATGATTCTCCAGTTAACATTGTTCTCTTGGGTATTTGGACACAGTGATGAGAAAAGTGACTAAGAGAAATTCTAACACCCATTCTCCTATTTTCCAAGTATTTGCTTAAGATTGTAAATTCATTGGGGAAAGGAGAACATGCTTTGCTTTAAAACAAATTAACAAGAATAATAATATTATTCCCAATATTTATTATAATATATAACACTGAGATCTCGCTATATGGGACTTATATTAATCATATCTTTTTATGTAAATGAAGGAAATGTGCCCCTTAAATCATATAGAAGGATTAACTCATTGATGTCAAGAATCACTAATAAAGGCCCTTAGCCTCAAAATACAAAGTAGCACTTTGAAGGATCAATGGAGAAACCCAAAGGAAGAGGGAAATGATGAAAAGGACATATGAGTTGAGAAATAAGGAACCAAAACCTACTGAATCAATTAAGTGTAAGGTTATATAAACTATATAGAAGTAATCGCACTGACAGGGAAGTTGTCCTTTAGAGAACACAGATTTTTCTATGATTCACAAAGGATCTGATGTGAAATTAGACAACATGACAGAAAATTCTGAAAATAAAATTGTGGGGAGATAAAAGGATGAAATATGCTGTCATGGGACATCTGATATTGTTTGGTGGATATAAGAGGGGAAGATCCTAAGACAAATAACTGGGTTTCATTATGTAAGACAGGAAAGAACAGAAAACCCCTCCAGCTAACTAACTCCACTGATCCTACTGTAACATTCAGATAAAAGTGAAAGCAAAGCAAAGCATGAAAAGATGGTGATAGAACCCTGAGAAGAAAACTCCAGTTGTGATTTGCTTTGTAATCTGTGTGGAGCAAAGATATGAAAGACTGTAGGGGACAGTACTCCTGGCAGGAGAGCAGCCAAAATGTTGCTTCCTTTATGTCCTGGACTCTATGTCACAGAAGGCTATGGACACAGAACACCACACGATCATTAGAAATGCAGACTGATCTCAAGGAGCCATAATGTGGTTCAGCATGACACACTTGCAAAAGTTTCACATTTGAACAAATGAATTCTTTCAAAGTCTAATATTTTAAAATTGTGTGTGTGTGTGTGTGTGTGTGTGTG